GCGGGCTGGACCCCCCTTTCCGCTGGCTGTGGTCCAGAGGCGTGCATCTCTGCAGCTTCCCTTGACAGGCCGTCAGGGACTCTGTGCATTTCGGAGGGGATACGTAGTGGCTGGACCCCAGGTCCTGAACTCATGGTGGGGACCGGCAAAATGAGGGTCCCGCCTCCTAGGTCGCGTGGGTGAGGACCCAACGTTCCTTCGCCCAGGGCTCCGGCAACTTTGGAATAGAGCTCCACACTACAGGAAAGCCTGAGGTGAGGCTTCGTTAGTGCAAACTTCATTAATTCCGCACACCTTAAAAGTGCAGCTACAGAAGGGACCCTCTGTAGCTAACCCCTTGGGAGAGCCCTGCTGGTGGCTCATGAAGATCCAGGGCTGTACAAAGGGAACGAGGCACACAAGCCCATCCAGTGCGCCGCCTGGTAGGCATCTCAGGGGGAGGGGAGGGGGACTAACCTCAGCACCCTTAGGGTCCCTTCCTGAGGACCCTGCACTATAGATCTCTGGATAGCCATGTTCCCCCACACACCCATAGAGCCCTCTCCTTGGCGCCACTCCTGGTCACCTTGAAAACCCAGGTCAGCACCAGAATTAAGAGGTTCTGCTACAGCCTGAGGTGAAGGGCCAGGAGTCCCTTGCCCAGTCAGTGCACCTCCTCCCCTAGTCTGGGGTACCCCCACCCAACACCAGGCAGCTGGTGAGGCCTTTGTACCTGGTGAGGGAGCTTGGGGGGCAGAAGCATTGGGAGAGGCACTCCTTGCTTCTGCCTATCCCTCAGAAGGCCAAGCCGTGGCTCTGGCTGGCCCTCAGCTTTTCGGGGAGATACCAGCTTCACAGGGAAGCAGAAAGTGAGGGTGACCTCGGAAACTCCCTGAGTCCTTGCTTCCAGACTCCCAGGGCTCTGGCTAGCCTGCTCACAGGTAGAAGCCTGAGGCACCACAGGCTCAGGCATAGGTGACATGGTGTGGTGCCATCTCTGGCCCTAAGATACCTGGGTGGCCAACCTCCAGCCCACTCCAGGAAGCAGAGGCATGGTACACTCAGATCAAGCTCTTGGCCATGCTGCAGGGCCAGCTGAGTGGATACCCACCAAGGCCAGTTGGAGGCCTGTGGGTGTCTGTCTTGACCATGCTTAACCTGTGCTGGGGCTGGGCGCTGCAGTGCAGAGCTTCTGGCCAGGGCAGCTCCTTGCCAGCTGCCCCCAGTGGAGGGAAGGCTGCCCTCTCCTCACTGGGTTGCAGGCTCTACTCTCTCCCTGTCTGGACACATGCTCTGTCCATGGCATCTTGTCATTTTGGGTCAAAGAGAGGACCAGGTGGGGGAAGGCTGTGCCATGCAGCCCATGGGAAGATCTTTAGGTTGCAGTAGAATCCAGCAGGTGCAGTGAGTCCTGCCTCCCACCAACGTTTCTGGGACAGTGAAGCAAATCCTTTGCAAATCTGGTGGAGCAGTGCTGTCTCCAGAGACCCTGAGAAGCCTCCCCAGACTGCACTGCACAGCCGACACCACTTCTGCCTCTGTCCACCTCTGCAGCTGCCCTTTCCAGTGGCCAGCAAGGCCCCAGGGTGGTTTTGGGGGCTGGGGACCCTCTTAAGTCCTGCGGAGGCTATCCCAGCCTTTACTCTGCAAGGGTCTGGAGGGTCTCTCACCCAGGCATAGCCTGCAGGGTCAGCTGGTGCTCTGGCCATTTTCAGGAGCTCTGTCAGTGCCTCTGTTCAAGGTGTCCTGCCCAGGCGGTCACCTTTAAGGCACTGCCCACCAGTCATCACAGAGCCCTCCCCTATGGGCAGAGAGCACAGCCCCAAGGGTGGGTGGAACAGGTGGCCCTACTGGCTGGAGCCAGCTTCCTGGGCAGTCCCATTGAAAGCCAGAAGGAAGGAGATTGGGGAGGTGATCATGGAGCCCAGGCTGTTAACCTGCTGAGCCCGGGCGCGGCAGTGGAGGAGCAGAGACCAGCCAAGCTGAAGCAGAGTCTCCCAGAACTTCACCCCTGAGATCAGTCCCACCTGTGGTAGCGCTGCCTCCACTTCCTGTGAGGCCCCTTTCTCCGTTCTTGGTCGGTCATGGGGGCTTGGGTGGAGCGATCCTTTCCTGCCCAGGAGTTGGGAGGTGACCCAGCACCTTAACGTCAACCTCTTTGCTGAAGCTCATGGGAAGGAGGTGGTTGCCCTGCCAGGGTTGGATTGCCCCACTGCTAGCGTCGTGGCCCCAAAGACCTCTCGGGAAAATCAGCCTGTCTCAGAAGGAAGCCAACTCTCGGGCAGGTAAGGAACCTAGTCTGCCTACTTGCTTCGGGCCCTGGATCCACCTCACTGAAGCAAGCCACGTCCTGGACTTTAACCCATGGGATCCAGTGAGCCCCTGCTGTGCTAACGCTGAAGCTCTGGCCTTCTGGCCACTGTGAATGCTGGCTCCCACGGTGCCCTTGAGTACAGGCCCTACAGTTTCTGGCCTAGGCCTCCAGCTACAGGCTGTGGACACACACTTAGCTCAGAATGTGCGAGGCACTGGGTTCAATCCTCAGCACCCCATAAAAATAAATGCATAAAATAAAGCCACTGTGTCCATCTACAACTAAATAAAAATATATTTTTAAAAATGTTTAAAAATATTTTTCCAATGGGGAGTTTTTTTGTGACCATGAACAGAATCAGTCACTGTCAACAGAAGGCATGGGAAACATGAGCGTCAGTCAGGTGCTCTGCCTCTTGGGGGCTTCCGACAGACTCTGGACAGGGTGTCCCTGGAAGCCTCTGCAGTCTTTGTCCCTCTGCCACAGCGTGTGAGTACCCACAGTCCCCACCCTTGTCCTGGGAGGGGACATCCATCAGTGACTCTGACCAGGGTACACCAGCTACTTCAGGGACAGCTCTGGGCCACCGGGGCTCACGGAAAACCTCGGTCAGGGCTGCCAGAGACCCCGGAGCAGGGCTCAACCTCCCTTTGGCCAGGAAGCTGCCTGGCCTCTAGGCAGGTGCTCTCTAGGGACCCTCCTTGTCCCCTGCCCAGCTCCCGGGAAGGTGCACCTGTGTGCAGGGACAGTGGAGACTAGGGGCTACCCGACCAGGTGGCCCTTCCAGCCAGGACTTCAAGAAAGCCTTGCAGTTGGCGTAGATCTGGAGGGACATGGTGCATGTCAAGCCACAGGGGCCAGGGGAGGGGCCTCGGTGCCTGGATTGTCTGAAAAGAACCTCAGTGCTACAGGGCTGCAGCTGCCCACTCCCTGTGCCCCATGGCCCAGGCCAGGCGGGAGGCAGCAATGTCCTGGCGGACAGGCTCACAGCAGCCACCCTGCTCCAGTCCCCGAACCTGTCCTGTGCCTCCGGGAGACACTCTCTTGCCCTTCCCAGGATGTGTGGTCCTCTCAAGCCCCCACTGGTCTCTGACCAAGATCCCAGAGGGCCAGAGCCCCTGGGGAAGGAAAGCTGTTCTGCCTGGGTGCCGCACCAGAAGGACAGTGGCCTGTGGAGAGGCTGCTCCCTTCTCACTAGCCCTTGGGCTCTGGGCACTGGGCAGCGTTGACCTGAGGTGCAGACAAAGCCTGGGCTTCCTGTGGATGGTGTCCCTCCAGGGCTCCTTCAGGGCCTGGGCCAGCACCTGCAGGCTCCTCACCCCCCACCCTGAACCAGAGGTGCTGTGGCCCACGCACCCTTGTGGCTCCTCCAGGGTCCCCCTGCCCTGCCTGCCAGGCCAAAGCAGGTGACACATGCACAGTGTGATGCAGCTGAGAGTGCAGCCCGCGGACCTGCCCCAGGGCATGGCGGGCGTAGGTGCCCTTCTCACCGGCTCTCCAGTGAGGGATGGAGACCTTTGACTCCCCGGCCTGCTGCCATGTGGGTGTGGAAGTCCCCCAAAGGCATGGTCCCCAGGGTAGGGCTTTAAGAGGTGGGGCTAGTGGGAGGCTTTTTTGCACCAAAGATTGAACCCAGGGGCACTTTACCACTGAGCCACAGCCCAGCACCTGGGAGTCTTAGGGGGAGGTGTGCCCTTGAAGGCATGTTGGGGCCCTGGAGCCCTGTTCTCTGTTTTATGTCTTGGCCTCGAGGTTAGCAGCTTCACGCTACCCTGCGTGATGTGCTGCCTCACCAGAGGCCCCAAGCCATGGGGCCACCTCTAAAACTGAACCAGCACAACCCTTTTCTCTTTATAACTTGATTGTCTCAGTATCTTGTTATAGTGATGGATAGTTGACTACCTCAGTCCCCTGGAGGAAGCCCAGCCTGCCCAGCTCCAAGGACTGTAGATCTCCAAGGGCCCCATCCAATCCAGGTGGGTGGGAGTACCGTGCTTTGTGGGCTTTGGGTGCATGGACACTTCTCATCTAGGGGAGAAGCCTGTGCCTGAGGGCTCCTGGGACACAGGAACCCCACTCCTTTGACTCCCTAGTTCAGACAAGGGGGGGTGGCAGTATGAGGGGTAGCAGCTGGGCCCACAGGACCACCTGACCACGGCTGAACCAGCCCCCTGGTGTCCCCTGGTGTGGAGAGGGAGACATGCTCAGAGGGTCCTCAGGCAGTAGAGCCAGGTCCCACCCAGGGCGTCACTCCCTGTGGAGGGGGCTGGAGGGGGGAGTGCTCTGCAGTTCTCACGCTGTCCTGTCCATCAGAAGGATGAGACACAGGGCGAGGGTCAGGGTGGGGGCACCCTGTGCCAGGAGCAGGACTCCCTGCTGGGACCCCCTGCTGGACAGAGGGAGGCCGCAGGGCCAGCGCAGAGCCGCGCTCAGGACAAAGCTGGTCTTGTTCCTGGTGGGTGGCCGGGGGCAGCTAGGCTGGAGCTCAGGGTGTGAGTTGGCCTCCAGTGCTTTCCCAAAGTTGGCGGTTCTGAGCAGGGCGGTCAGCTGGCCATCTGAGAGGCCATGTCCTGTGCGGAGTCGCTGTGGCTGTGGAGAGCCCCAGGGGTGGGAGGTGGGAGGACCAAGTTAGGGGGCTGAGAACTTGCCGTTCCAGTGACCCACAGCTTGACCTTGTGTCGTCCTTGGAGACTCCTGGCCAGGGCCTCCTCGCCTGCCTGTGCACCTGGTGTTTTACAGGGAGAGGTCCTCACAAGCCCACCAGGCTGAGTCCGGACAGCAGTGCCTCTGCCCTGCGGGGCTGGCTGGGCGGGTCTGCAGGGCTGCTCCTTCCCGGGGCCTCTCCCCACGTGGACGAGACAAGGAGTCGGCTTTTGCCCACCCTCCACTTAACTGAGCGGAGTGTCCAGCCAAGGGGACCCCATGTGTGCTCCCTGGCCAGGCCCTCGGCCCGGGGATCAGTGGAGCCTGTGGCAGCCAAGGCCCAGCAGGAAGGCAGGACAGGGTGCAGCTGGCTGGCCGTTGTCCACCTGCTCCAGGTCCCTGAAGGACTCCCGTCTACTCAGACTTGTTCTGGCTCCTGCAGCGCATGTAGTCACATCTGCTCTTCAGGCCCTGGGGGAAGGACTCCGTGGCAACACTGACCTGTGCCCCGGCTCTCCTGAGTCTTGAGCAGCTCTTCCCGTGTCAGGTCAACCAGGAAGGGCTAGCCTCCAGCCCCTGGTGACCACTGCAGGAGAACAGTGTGAGCCCTCAGGAGCCAGGACTGAGGCAGACATGGGGTCCCTCTTCTCCAGCTGTGTGTCGTGGGTCTCTTCTGGCGCTAAGGGTGGGGGGCAGGAGGACTTCCAAGGGTGGGAGCCATCACCCCAAACCCACCCCGTAGTGCTGTCCTGTGCTCACGCTCTTCTGCCGGCCTCTGTGAGGAGTGCTGGGCAGAGAGTTCTGCCGATGGCCCTGTCTAAATGGAGCTGGGTCTGTCTCTGTTCACACCATCCCTATCGGGGGCTGTCTGTGGGCATCACTTCCTGGGGGTACTTCAGGGCGGCTGCTCCTGGTGACAGGAAGCTCTGTCCACCTCAGTCCTGGACTGCTGTTCTGTCCCTCCTGTCCCCAGCTTCTGTCTGTCCCTGGGTCTCTGGCTCCTCTGTTGGGCAGCCCGACAGCTGCAGCCCGACCCTAGGTCTCCTGTCCAGTGGATGAAGGTGCAGATCAGCTGCCTGGCATGCTGACACAGTCGGGCATGCAGCACAGTCGGGCATGCCGCACAGTTGGGCACGCTGCACAGTCGGGCACGCTGCACAGTTGGGCACGCTGCACAGTCGGGCATGTCGACACGGTTGGGCTTGCTGACACAGACGGGC